GCTAGCAGGTTGGAGGCCATTCCTATTAGGTTGGAGGCCATTGCTATTAGGTTGCACCTCTTGCTCGGGCCAGGTCCGTCCATGATTTGTCGCCGTCAACTCCAACCTCCAGAGCCTCGAAGACACCAAAGATCTCACCGCGGATTTCACATGTTGAGGCTTTGGCAGTTGCCGTCGCGGTGGCTGTGGAGAGGATTGGATGACCCACCTTAGAACCGTCTCTACAACAGGGCTTTGCAGGTAATCGTTATATTCTTTTCGTTTTTGGAGATGGGTTTGGAATTGTTTTTATGTAGTGTCCCACGTATACATTGTATATTATACCTTATGACCCCGACTATTTGGCTCAAGGAAAAAGCTGGGCGCTTTTGGCTGATTTCCTGTAAACATAGGTTATCAGCCGTATAGCCTTAGGCCCGTAGCATTGCTCCCACGTCATTCGCAGCCATGGACTTAAGTCTCGATCCGACAGCCCTCGCGAGGCTGGCTGCGCCGTACGGAAGTACGGATGGGCGGGAGAGCGTGGGTGGAAATCCCGCCGTTTTTCATCTACCACTGATGGATCCAGGCGTCTCGTCTACACCAGACGGAGGATCCAACATGTCAGCTGATGGATGGGGAGCGGGTGGGAACACTGCGCCGATTTTTAATCAGGCCAATTTTTCATTTGTGCAAACACCTCCAGCAATGGTGGCAGAGATGATGCGCCAGGCATCTCAAAATCAGCAACTCGAGGGGCAGCGAGCAGAACTAATGCTCGCGGCACAGAAGCTCCGAGGTGAGGCTGATGAAGCATTCTCCGAGAACGAAGAGATGAAAATCCAGGCGCGATCGTTCATCAATGCAACCGCAGTTGGATACCAGACTCTACAAGAGCAGGCTCAGAATCAGTTCATGGAAATGGCCATGAACCACCGTCAACAAATCGCTGGACTTGAAATGATGCAAGGTCAGAAAGTCTCTTTCCTCGAAATGAACTTGGCGCAGCAACAGCATGCATCTATGGATTTGCAGAGGCGTTTGACTGAAACGGAATCTGTACAGGCGCAACTCCTGAAGGAACTTCGCGAATTGAAGGGACGAAAGGACGAAGTGCCAGGCGTTTCGGAAGGGACTGCCGAAGTTCGCGATTCAATACCGATGCATGAAGCACCACTCACAGGTTTATCTCAAGCCGATGATGTCCGATCTTTTAGAACTGCTGATCTTTTCGGTACTCCATCCATGAAGTCTCAACCCGGAAGCGTGTTTTCCCCTAACGCTGCAGTTTTCCAACCGGTGAGTCCATGGAATGATGGGTATGGATCGTTAGCAGCAAATGCATTGTCGGGCAACTTCGGTAGAGGTGGACCAGGGAACGGTGGTGGTGGACCGCCGGGTGGGGGAGGAGACAATCCTGGTGGAGGTCGTTCATCAGGTGACCCAATCAACCCTGGGCGACCAGGCATTCCGCTTCTCAAGATTCCCAAATCGGGGGGTGGACCACCTGGTCCTCCGGGGGACGACAGCGACCCAGACGGGGGAGATGATTTGAAGATGATGACGATGAAATGACGGACAAGGCTCTCATGAAGAAGCTCAAACAGGTTTTGGGGGGTAAAAGTAGTACCACGAAGGAAGCAGACCATATCAAGATACCTTTTCCTTTCCACAGCCCGAAAACTATCGCAATTGGAAGATTAGGGTGAGGGATGCGGTGAGGGCCGCGTCTTCCAAGCCCGACAAAGCCTTCTCGTGGATCAACAAAGTTTGGGTTGAAGGTCAGACAATTGAAGGTCTCGCGAGTCCTGACGGGTTCACTACCCTCGATGCCAAGCTTCTCGCCGCACTGTCATCCATCGCCGCAGGTGAATTTGCACGCAAAGTTGACACTTTCAAGGAGAAAGAATGCCAGAAAGATCGTCCAGTACGGGGGAGACAGGTGTTGCTGATGATGCGTGAGTACTTCAGTACCAATATCAAACATGGCGCCACTTATTCCCTCAGTGATCTGTTCAATGTGAGAATGAAGGGCGACAATCTCAAGACTTTCTTGTCGAACTGGGATTCAGTTACCACCGGTGTTACCCATTTGCCTGAAACTACTGTCCTGGAAACCTTATTCTATCAACAAGTGAAGAATCACAGGGCAATCGCCCATGACATTGAGGAGTACCACCGGGCCGAAGAGGGAAGTTCAAAGCATTGCTATCAATTCCTGTATGACGCTGTTCGCAGACATCTCATGAGGGAAAGGCTAGAGGACAATCGGGGACGGATTGCCGCTAGTGTTGGAGGTGCCAAGACGTCCGCTCCTGCTGCTGACGCACGCACTCCGTTCATCCCCAGGGGGTTTTGTGTTCAGTGGAACAAAGGGGGTTGTAGCAAGGAAAACTGTCCATTCAAGCATGAGGTTCCCAAGAAACGTGAGAAGAGTGCAACCAAGAGTCCAAGGGGGCGCTCACAGTCAAGAGGGAAAGAGAAAAGGGACACCTCCAAGATTGCGTGCAAGTTTTGGAAGGCTGGACGCTGCAAGCGGGGGGACAAGTGTGAATTCTCCCATGAAGGTCAACAGCGACCCAGGAAGGCCACCCCTGCCAGATCGCCTTCACGAGGCTCTCAAAAGAGTGACAAGAGCAAGAAAGACAGACGCAGAAAGAAGAAGGGAGACCGATCTCAGTCGAGGGGCTCCAGTGGTTCGCGTAAGTCTGGAGGCTCCAGATCCTCCAAGGGTTCTCGTGGTTCGAAAGGCAGTGCAGGTAAGTCCACTCCCGCGGCAGTTTGTCTGGTTGCATCCATGCTCGCATCCGTCGTCGATGGTCTCTCGTTGAACGGTCCTACGTCCATGTTGGATCATGTCGGAATCAACGTCAGCGAGAGCCAGGCGGCCTGGGAAGGCGAGCCATGTGTTGCATGTCCAGGTGTGTCATTCAACCTCAAACCTGATATCACGAAGATTCATGCTTGGGGCAGATTAGATCCATTTGTCTCGGAACCATCCAAACCGAAGAAGACTTTCCCAGCTAGCTATCAGACCAAGCCCAACATTCAAGCAGTTGATGATTCAATCTTGTCAGCGCGCATGCTTCAAGGAGCGGTTTCCGGTTGGCTGAAGGGTGTCAAAACAGCTTGTAGGTACATGTGTGATTCAGACTTAGGTTGTGACTCATGCATTCCTGCCGACATTGTTGCTTTGCCCGCATCCTCTCCGAGAGAAGTCAAGTACTTCCACCATTCGCACGAGGACTGGATTGCAGACACCGGAAGTGCTCAGGACCTGTTGACACGACATGACATCCCTGATGAGTTCCAATATCGTTCGGACCGGCCGATTGCTATCATTACAGCTAACGGTCACAGTTCATCAAATCTTCAGGCTAAGGTGTACAATGACACATTGAGTTGCAGGTTTGACCCGTATCTGCTCGAGTCTACACCACCGGTCATGTCCGTCGGCATGAGATGTGTTGATCAAGGGTATGATTTTATTTGGAGGTCCGGCAAATCACCCTACTTTAAGGAAGCCGGACGGAGAAAAGATAGAGCTTCTGGTTAGGGATTACGTCCCCTATATTCCTGCCAGGGCCAAATCAAATGCCAGTCCATGCACTCCCACTCAAATCGATCGGCCTCGCTCGACTTCATCCTCTACATTGGCTCCGACGTCTCTTCATCCCATAGCTCCTGGACGTGGTACAGCTGCTCCTGCTGAACCGGCATTGGCCTCGGGTGATGACGGGATGAATGTGTTGAAAGAGAGCCCAGAAAAGGATGAAGCGGGCCGGAAGGCTACGCCGGAGAAAGAGAAAGAAGCACCGAAGGGCAGTGCGGACCGGAAGGTCTCGCCGATGGATGATGTTGATGATGATGCTCCGCAGGTACCTGCCGAAGGTAACTTGGACAGGAATCTGGGAAAGGGGATATCATTGTTGAAGGAAGAGGCTAAATCACTCGGGCACCTGGTGAGCCATCACCCCAAGAACCCATATTGCGACGTTTGCAATAAAGCAAAAATGACCAAGCCTCCATCGTATCGGCGGGACGGGTCCTCAATAGTTGAAGCCGAGAAATTCGGTGATCACATAACTTGTGACTTTCTCATTACCGGTGATGAATATGAAATGGGAATCGATGAAGAAAAATGTGCATTGATTGTCAAAGACATATACTCCAACTTCATGTATGTGTATCCCAGTGCTAGAAAGAGCGCCGAATCGGTCATCCTGGCTATGAAACACTTCATTTCGAGTGAAGATGAGGTAGGAATCTGCTACTCTGACAATGCTCCTGAGTTGATCAATGCTATGAAAGAACTAAAGTGGAGACATGTACTGTCGAAGGCATACATATCCGCCAGCAACGCAGTTGCAGAAAGGTCGATCCGAACCGTGCTTGAAGGAACTCGTGTGAACCTCTTGCAATCCGGTCTCAATCATGGATTTTGGCCTTATGCTGCTCGTCATTGGTGTGTCATGAACAACAACCTGTATGCGCTAGATGGAACTGCCTCTCCGTGGGAGCTGAGATTCGGAGAGCAATCACCTATTAAGTGTTGGCCTTTCGGATGCATGGTGAACTACTGGAATGGTCCCAAGAAGAAACCCAAAGATGAGCTGAGGTTTGACCCCACATCAAGTGCAGGGGTCTTCATTGGTTACATCGTTCGCCCAGGGTTTCAATGGAGGACAGAATACTTTGTAGTTGACCTCAAGTCGGCCAAGGCAGATAAATATGAGGATATGCACCAAATCAAAAGAGTCATTCGCATCGATGTACCTGAACCTTTTACCTTCCCGCTGAAGGATCGCAAGGAGATGGTTCGCAAAGGAGAGCTCGCTGACGCGGCCGAAGAGGAAGTCGAAACAGCCCTTGAAGTCCAAGATGCTGTTGAAAGTGCTGCCCCAAACCCAAAGGCAGAAACACTTGAGAAATCGGACACCACTCTTCCAAAGGGGCCAGTGGCCCGAGGATCCGGTGCCCGAGCAGTTTGGAATCAGGGTTGGTTAGCTTTCATCGGAAGCGGAATCAGTGACAGATGGTGTGACTATGCCGAATGTAAGGTCAAGTACAGCCCCTGCGAGGGGAAATTCCTCGACCCACGTGCAGATGTCAACACTGAACAATAATACTCCTATAGAACTACTCTCATGCACTCGGATGAAGAGTCATGGCATGTTGT